CTGGGGCCTTCGGTGGAGCTCTCTATGGGGGCCACGAACCGCGTGAAGGGTGTGCCGAAATGAAGCGGCGGTGCCATGCGTACGCTCCCGCTGAAGCTTTCGGCAGAATACCCTATGGGGCCACGACCCGTGTGAGGGGTGTGCCAAAATGCGGCGGCGGTGCCATGCGGACGCTCCCGCTGGGGCCTTCGGTGGAGCTCCCCATGGGGCCACGAACCGTGTGAGGTGTGAGCCTAAATGAAACGGCGGTGCCATGCGGACGCTCCCGCTGGGGCCTCCGGCAGAGTTCCCTATGGGGCCACGAACAGTGTGATGGGTGTGCCAAAATGAGGCGGCGGTGCCATGCGGACGCTCCCGCTGGGGCCTTCGGTGGCGATCCCTATGAGGCCGCGAACCGTGTGAGGGGTGTGCCAAATGCGGCGGCGGTGCCATGCGGACGCTCCCGCTGGGGCCTCTTCGGTGGAGATCCCTATGGAGCCACGAACCGTGTGAGGGGTGTGCCAAAATGGGGCGGCGGTGCCATGCGGACGCTCCCGCTGGGGCCTTCGGTGGAGCTCCCCATGGGGCCATGAACCGTGTGAGGGGTGTGCCAAAATGGGGCGGCGGTGCCATGCGGACGCTCCCGAAGGGGCCTTCGGTGGAGCTCCCCATGGGGCCACGAACCGTGTGAGGTGTGAGCCTAAATGAAACGGCGGTGCCATGCGGACGCTCCCGCTGGGGCCTTCGGCAGAGTTCCCCATGGGGCCACGAACAGTGTGAGGGGTGTGCCAAAATGAGGCGGCGGTGCCATGCGGACGCTCCCGCTGGGGCCTTCGGTAAAGCTCCCTATGACGATGATGACGCTGACGATGACGATGACGAGGCGGATGGGAAGAGGGAAGAGGAGGAGGAGGAGGAGGAGGAGAAGGAGGAGGAGTAGGAGGAGTGGGAACGCGGGGCGCTCTCTCTGTCTCTCTTCAAAACGAGGACCAAACACCACAGGATGGTTGGGAAATAAGGATACGAACAGAAACAAAAAAAACAACTATCCTGGCGAAAGACCCAACCATATGCAATTGTGGGTACCGCAATTGTGAATATCTTCTTCGGTGAAGCTCCCTACGGGGCCACCAAACGCTGTACTGGGTGGGGGGGAACGCATGCGGGCGGTAGCACTGGGGCCGTCGGTGGAGCTCCCTATGGGGCCACGAAACGCTGTACTGGGCGGGGGGGACGCGTGCAGGCGGTAGCACCAGGGCCTTCGGTGAAGCTCCCTATGAGACCACGAAGCGCTGTACTGGTGAAGGGGACGCATGCGGGCGGTAGCACTGGGGCCGTCGGTGGAGCTCCCTGTAGGGCCACGAAACGCTGCACTGGGTGTGGGAGCGCATGCGGGCGGTCCCACTGGGCCTATGGGGCCACGAAACGCTGTACTGGGTGGGTGGAAATGCCAAATTGGGCTTCCGGGACGCATGCGGGCGGTCCCATTGGGGGCTTCGGTGGAGCTCCCTATGGGGCCACGAAACGCTGTACTGGGTGGAAATGCCAAATTGGGCTTCTGGGACGCATGCGGGCGGTCCAACTGGGGGGTGGAGCTCCATATGGGGCCACGAAACGCTGTACTGGGTGGGTGAAAATGCCAAATTGGATTTCCGGGACGCATGCGGGCGGTCCCACTGGAGGCTTCGGTGGAGCTCCCTATGGGGCCACGAAACGCTGTACTGGGAGGGTGGAAATGCCAAGGCTTCTGGGACGCATGCGGGCGGTCCCACTGGGGGCTTCGGTGGAGCTCCCCATGATGGGGCCACGAAATGCTGTACTGGGCGGGTGACAATGCCAAATTGGGCTTCCGGGGCGTATGCGGGCGGTCCCACTGGGGGCTTCGGTGGAACACCCCATCGGGCCACGGAAACGCGGGGACCGTCTCTTCAAAACGAGGACCCAACACCACAGGATGGTTTCCTGATAGTAATGATGATGATAATGATGATGAGGGGGAGGATGAGGATGAGGAGGAGGATGAAGATGACGATGACAACGATGATGATGATGCTGATGCTGATGCTGATGCTGATGCTGATGATGATGATGATGATGACGATGATGACGATGATGACGATGGGGGTAAAGATAATGATGAGGATGCTGATGATGATGATGGTGGTGGTGGTGATGATTGTTAATATTGTTAATGATGATGAAGCTAGTGATGCTGATGATGATGATGCTGATGATGACGACGACGATAGTAATAATAATAGGAATAATAAAAATGATGATGATGGTGATGGTGGTGATGGTGGTGATGATGATGAGGGTACATGCTGATGATGGTGATGATGGTGGTGATGATGATCAATAATGGTGATGATGATGATAATGGTGATGGCGATGATGATGGTGATTACCATGGCGATGATGCTGATGAGCATGATGGTGATGATGCTGATGGTGGTAGTGATGTTGATGCTGATGATGGTGAGGAGGATGGAAATGGTGATGATGGCGGGGATGGTGAAGATGGTGATGCTGATGGTGATTACGGTGATGATGGTGATAATCATTATGATGGTGATGACGGTGATGCCAGTGATAATGATGGTGATGATGGTCGTGACGGCGTTGCTGATGATGATGATGCTGATGATGATGCTGATGATGTTGGAGATGCTGGTAATGATAATGACGATGAAAATGATGGTGATGCTGGTGGTGACGGCGGGCATGATGATGATGGTGATGATGAGCTTGGTGATGGTGATGGTGATGGTGATGGTCATGGTATGACGGTGATGATGATGGTGGTGGTGATAGTGGTGGTGATGATGATGATGATAATCAGGAGGAGGAGGGGGAGGAGGAGGAGGGAGTGGGGAGGTAGTTGAAAGAGGGTTTAGGGCGAACCCGTGCTCAATATACACAACTACTTCCGCCACCAGCCACCCTGAACCCCGCAAGCGGAAAAGTAGAGAGGTGGGCAGCACGGCAGAAGTCGCCACTAGCATTCTTGTTCACTGAGGGGACACCCTGCCCCGAAAGGCGATCGCTTCGGCGTTCCTCTCCCGTCCCCTCTCGCTACCTTCCCTTCCTCTCCCTTTTCCTTGTTCCCAATCCTCCTAAGTGTTTTGACTATAGCTCACAGCTGCTGTTTCCCCATCCCTCGCCTCCCTGGGTGCTGCCGACTTCGCGTCTGTCAACATGTTTGCGAGCTTGTGAAGGAACAGCTGAATGCGGCCCGACGATCCAGATTCAAACGGGACTCCGCGTCCCTGGGTACTGCAAATTGGGCAACTGCCCCCACTCTCGTGCGTTAGCGCAGGAAGACGGCAGCGGAGTGAGGCATTACCCAAATACCAACGGGACCTTGCCTCCCTGTCGCCTCTTTGCTATCGCGGTCATAAGCCGTATGTCTCTTCCCTCAGTCCCATGGGGCGTGCAATGCACAGGTTTCCCACATGGTTTTCACATGAGACAGCCTGCGACGAGGAGGACATATTCATGATAGGGAAGGGATGGAGGAAGGGGCATTTGGAAGAGGAGAGGATTTAAAAGGGGGGAATGCGAGGATCAGAATCTGGAGGGAGGATGGGCGGAGTTGTAGGAGGAGGAGGAAGAGGAGGAGGAAGAAGAGAAGGAGGAGGCCCAGCAAAAGTGCGGGGAAGCGCCAGGTTCTGAAGTGGAGATAAACAAGTTTGGGCACTCTGTTCGTCTAACCTAGGACAAGCACACTCAATCAGGAGGGCGATTTACATGTGAGACGCTCAGATCGCGGCCAAAACCGAACGGCCCTGGGTGCACTCCGAACTTCTTGCCTTGAAATAAAGAACGTCCTCCCGGGCCTGGTAATTCTCAAGCATGGTGTCAATATTTACCAGGAAACCAGGCTCGTGCTGCAGAGCAATGTCTGAGATCCGCTGCCTGCACTCGGCGACAATATCCCAGCCAGCATTGCATGCGCCAGGCACGGCAGGTCGCTGCTCGCCATAGGGTAGCACTTGCACATCACGAGAAGCTCACCATGAGGTAGTTAGCACTTGCACATCACGAGAAGGATCGTGAACAGCAAATTCTACCTCGGGTACTTCCTTCGGGAGGCGAGGACGGCGCGTCGAACGAGACGACGCGCTTCGGCACCACCATCTGCAGGACCGAAGCCTCTGGCACCTGAAGCGAAGCCCCAGCTGAGCCCCTGAGCACCTCGAGCACGGGCGACTAGTCGAGGCGAGGCCTCCTGCAGCTCGTCCGAAAAGACCCCCTGCGGCAAGGGCGGGCAGCTCGGCTGGGCACCCGCGGGAGACACGAGCAAACGTGGGGAAGAAGCCGGCGGCGCCCAAGGCGGCTGAACAGCACGAACGCCCAACGGTCTGGCAGGTCGAGGAGCCGGCACACGAACCTCGGCAACGACGACACGAAAGTCTCGATCCTGACAGGGCCTGGGGCCAACTGGGCCGCAGGCTTGCGCCAAGTCGCGGACGTCGGCTGCGCGGGGCCCGCGTCCGACTCGGGCCGCGTAGCCGAGCCTCAGAGCAGCGGCGAGGCGCGGACTCGACCGGCGGCGGGCAGCAGCAGACCGGTCGGGTTCATCTTGTGGCATGCGGCCACCGTCGTCTGCCGTGAGGCGCTCAGCGAAGGCAGCGCGCATGGGCAGCAGTACGGCAGAAAGCCCGGCCAAAATGAAATGGCAGGCCACTCGCGCACAGAGCCTGACGACTGGAAGGGGCAGGAGGAACGAGCATGGAAGTGGAAGAGGAGGGGGGAGAAGGCTGAGAGCAGAGGAAGCGGCAGGATGGGGGGATCGGAGAAGAGGAGAAGCGGGGAGGGAAGGAGGAGAGAAACAGGGCTTTCGTGGAGCGACAATCCCGGGCGGAGGGGGGACCGGGAGGAGGAGGTGGCGAGGAGGGAGCCAGGCCAGTCGGCCCTGACAGCCCGGCAGAATCCTGGAGGTAGCTGGGCCGCTTCGAGTTGTGGTCCCCCTCGACTAGCACGAGATTCTTGTCCCCGGCGTAGCGGCCGTGGATGTCCTTTCCATCTCCACCTCTTCCTCTGCATCCTCCTCCTCCTCCTCCTCCTCCTCCTCCTCCGACCTCCTCCTCCCTCCTCCTCCTCCTCCTCCTCCTCCTCCTCCTCCTCCTCCTCCCCTCTTCCTCTCCTCCTCCTCACTCCTCCTCCGCCTCCTCCGCCTCCTCCTCCTCCCTCCTCTCCTCTTCCTCCTCCTCCTCCTCCTCCTCCTCCTCCTCCTCCTCCTCCTCCTCCTCCTCCTCTCCTCCTCCTCCTCCTCGTCCTCCTCCTCCTCCTCCTCCTCTCCTCCTCCTCCTCCTCCTCCCCCTCCTCCTCCTCCTCCTCCTCCCTCCTCCTCCTCCTCCTCCTCCTCCTCCTCCTCCTCCTCCTCCTCCTTTTTCTCCAAACACCGCCACGATTCACCATCAACCATCATCATACGAATAATGATAATAATAATAATAAGAATAATAATAATAATGATAATAATAATAACAATAATAATAATAATGATGCTAATACTAATAATACTAATAATGATGATAACAATAATAATAATACTGATAATACTAATAATAATAGTAATAATGATAGTAATGATGGTAGTAGTAGTAGTAGTGGTAGTAATAATAATAAAAATAATAGTAATAGTAATAGTAATAGTAATAGTAATAGTAATAGTAATCGTAATAGTAATAGTAATAGTAATAGTAATAGTAATAGTAATAGTAATAGTAATAGTAATAGTAATAGTAATAGTAATAGTAATAGTAATAGTAATAGTAATAGTAATAGTAATAGTAATAGTAATAGTAATAGCAATAGTAATAGTAATAGTAATAATAATAATAATAGTAATAGTAATACTAATAGTAATAGTAATAGTAATAGTAATAGTAATAGTAATAGTAATAGTAATAGTAATAGTAATAGTAATAGTAATAGTAATAGTAATAGTAATAGTACTAGTAATAGTAATAGTAATAGTAATAGTAATAGTAATAGTAATAGTAATAGTAATAGTAATAGTACTGAGTATTTGTATGAGTATAGTTAAGGAAGTAATGGAGGAGTTAATAGTAATAGTAATAGTAATAGTAATAGTAATAGTAATAGTAATAGTAGTAGTAATAGTAATAGTAATAGTAATAGTAATGGTAATAGTAATAGTAATAGTAATAGTAATAGTAATAGTAATAGTAATAGTAATAGTAATAGTAATGGTAATAGTAATAGTAATAGTAATATTAATAATAATAGTAATAGTAATAGTAATAGTAATAGTAATAGTAATAGTAATAGTAATAGTAATAGTAATAGTAATAATAATAACAACAACAACAACAACAACAACCATCAGCGGCAGCATCATCATCAGCATCAGCATCATCATCATCCTCATCAGCACTATCATCATCACAATCACAAACACCATCACCATCACCAACACCATCACCATCGACGCCAACATCATCATCAACATCATCAGCACCATCATCGTCATCAGCATCATCATCGTCATCATCATCATCGTCGCCACCATCCTCATTTTTCCAACGACATCCGAGCCAAGAAAAGGAAATGATTGCGCATGTCAATTTGCAAAAAGTTAGAGGCTCGTCGCAGAGAGTGGTGATTCTCGAGTGCTGCTCAGCAAGAATGCCATCAGGGTGCATTCACAGCGGGGCCTGGCGGCATGCGGTCGGCCTCGTAGTCATCATCGACAGGTTCTGGCTCGGCAGTCTGCACTGGCAAATCAAGGCCTAACTCCGAGCCTGGCTCTACACTGGGAGAGACTGCGCGGGCAGGGGCAACGCGCTCGGCTGGCAAAAAACCTCCGCTCACGAATCTAATGGGTTCTACAGGCCGCTCTCGCTGATCGTCTCCAGCCAGTGGCCCACTTCGTCCTCGAGCCAGCCCGCTGGCGCTACCCGTTTGTGGTGGGTCGCAACGCCCTCTGCCCGCAGCGCCTGCTGGATGAGTAGTCCCCCCTTCCAGCTGGGAGCCCCTTACGATGACCTTCATCTTTTGCGAATCGCAACAGCTCTCCACGCGCATGAAACTCACGGCGGCCCCCAGGCCCGCTTCGTCGACGTCGGGCTCCGCCCTGCCCCTCGGGGGGGGCACTTCAGGAGGCGCATGCGGATCTCGTTCTTCACGCCGCCGCCGATGTCGCACAGCATCAGGCCCTCCAAGGCCGCCAGCCCCAGGCTGGCTGCGGGGGAGCCAATCTCCCCCATCCTCTTCTTGCCCCCCGCGCCCTGCGAGCGCAGCGTGTCGAGCAGACCTCCGTTGCCCTCTGGCTCGTCGCTGATCTTGCTCACCATCGGGTGCCCCGGCGGCATCGCGCACGCGTCGATCGCGACTGAGGAGGCCAGCCTGTTTCTGCGTGCTGCCTGCAGTACTAGTTTGAGTGTCGCCTGGAGAAGTGCGAGTAAGTGATTGCCCTCGCTGCTCCAGCCCTTGATCTGATGCTCGCCGCGGCGAGCTCGCCGCCCCCCATCGGCGCAGAGGCCTCCCGCGGCGCTCGCCGCCGTCATCGCCCTCGCCCTCCGCGTCGCCCTCGGCCGCCACTGCCGCTGTCACCCCGCGGGGGAGCGGGGGCCCCTCGACCCCGGGCTTGGCCGCTGGCGGAGCTCCCTCGGCTTTCCCCGAGCTTGGCCCAGATCCTGGCGAGGCCTGGGAGGAGCTCAGGGGGTGGCGCCACGACGCCCTCGCGGGGGCGGCCTTCGCCGCCGCCCCCTCACCCTCGAGCATCAGCTCGATCGTCGTCTGGAGGCTGAAACACACCTGGTGGCGGAGGTAGTGTCGGAGTAGCCGCTGCCAATCTGGTCCGCGTAGGTGCTGAAGCAGTCGAACAGCTTACAATCTGCGTTGCTCTCGAAAGTTGGGCACTGGTTGGCGTCGCTCGCGCGGGGCCCCTCCCGCGAGTCGGCAGTAAGAGTCGATCCGCAGCGCGTCTCAACTCGCGCCCGGCCGCCAAGGTGCTCCGCGCAGCTCGTGGCAGACGGCGCGGAGGCGGCACAGCTGAAGGCCCACGCGAATGCTGGGCGGTCGCGCCGCCCACCTCTCCGCGCGAAATCGCCTTGAGCAACGAACCCGATGGCGACGGAGGGATGTGGGTTAGCACATTTTGCCGTAGCCTAGCAGGGTCATGGTATTCAGGAATACACGTGGAATCCACTTGATACTCAGATAGTGGGCACGCCGTAGATGGAGGGTATCCATGGGAAGCTATGATGCGTGAGATCTGCAATACACCTACCTTGTAGCCATGATCGTCGTAAGCGTCGCACTGCATGATCTGCATTAGGGAATGTGGCATCGCATGCAAGGGATTTGTTGTCCAGGGTGGTTAATAGTTGAGGCTGTCCGTGCCCGTCAGTTTTGCTTTTTGTTTGATGAGTTACAAGCTGTCGCATTGTCCCGAACAGAAGACCACACCCAGGGAGCCCACATTTGAAAGGTCGGGGGAACTCAGCGCCACTGTCGGTCTCATCCTGCTGGTCCTGGGACGGGATGGCCTCGGGAATACTATTGCCTTCGGGGGGGGGGGGGGGGTCCAATGGCACGTCCAGAAGCCTGCGCGAAGCGCTCGTACATCACAGAGGAGAAAAGCATCGCGCAGGTCATCATCGCTCCACGGTGTTAATATCGTCTGCGGTCGCCACGGCTCTCTAAGTGTTTCACCAATCGAATGCGAAATGAGGCACTCGAGGTCACTCGAGAGCTGGCGCGCCCATGGGTGAGCGCGCGCGTCGATCTCGCCCTGCTCGTTGAGGGTCGAGACTGAGGTAGGGCGGTTGCTCGCGGCCGCCTGCTTCTCAAATTCACATCGCCCGAAAAAGACCGCGAGGAACTGACCGCGATGGCCGACGTTACTTAAAATGCTCTGCCACCAGCTGAGACGCCGCACTAAGGGGGGCCACCTGCCATTCTCGAAAGATCTGGAACGTTGGCATAGAATGATGATGACCCTCAGAGTCCTCATCATGCGCAGCTCCCTTTAGCATGGCCCTTCGCTTTTTTTTTTTTGCCAGCGCACAGTCTAGTCGGCGTACCCCACGGGGGCGCAGGATGCAGCTCTCGAGGCCCGACCAGACGCGGCCCGCGACGTTCGACAGGAACGATACTTGTTTCCAGGGCCCCTCGGAGAACCAGTAGTCCCCCAGCCGAGTCCACCCGACGTTGCCCGATACGGTACGTTCTTGTAGTTCACGCTGCGAGCGTAGGGCCACATGTATATATCCACCCAAATGTATGAATTCCTGGACCGCTTTGCCCGGGATACATCGCTCGGCTTCCTTAGTGGCTGCTCGGCTAGCCAGGCTGACGAGGGCGCCCTGCTTGCGAATGTTTTGTGCGCACCCCCCTCGACGTGGAGCTCGAGATAGGCTATCGCTGTCGGTCTTATCTAGCAGCATGACCTGGTAAGCGGCCCCGTCGGGGACCAAGAGAATCTTCAGCAGGTCGCCGACAAAGGCGCCGAAGTGCCCGGGGGGAACCTGGCCGGCGAATGGGCATCGCACTCGAAAGGGCTGCCCTTGCACCACGGCCATCTCCTCCTCCCACTCCTCCACTAATTGGTAGAATGATCCTATGAAAAGCTCTGGTTCGCTTGAATCCCCCACTCCCATTCCTGCGCCCGGCCGAAGGGCGAAGGTAGCATCAGAGGCCTGGATGTAAACAACTGCGCGTGCACGGCGCTGCTCGAGGAGAGGGTGAAAATGTTCGTCGTCGCATCGCACCGCGCGCGCAGCCAACAGTCTGACGCGATCGCCGGTGGCGAAGGCATCGCGCATATCATAGCTCTTGGCCAAAAAAGAAATGTCGGCTGCTCTCAACTTCTAGATCAGCAGCTTCGCGAGCAGCATCAGAGATTCTCGCCGCCTGGCAAATATGCCCCCGTTGGCCCACGACGGCGCATCGAACAAGGATCCGCACTTAAGCAATCCGATTCGAAGATAGAGGCGCCCGAAAGGATCAAAACAACGAAGGAGCCGAACACGCTGATAGATGTCTT